CCTTCCCTCCCTGCAACAGTAATCCCAGAATGAAGCCGGGGGAGGGGGGAGAGGGAGGAGGAGGGGAGAGGGAGGTGGGCGGTGGAAGGAAGGAGGACGGAGGAGGGAGGAGGTTGAGAGAGAGAGAAGCTAGGACTTGCGCTAAACGCTAATGTCTGTGCAGATCATCAGACTAATTTGAATTCCAGCCAGCAGACTGTTTCCCATAAGTATCAAAGAAGGAACCTTGGGGTGTCTCCCAGAATGTTCTACTGTAGGCCCTTGGGTCACTAAACAGCCTTTCTCTTCTGAGAGACAGTAGCCAAACCTGGTTAGGAACCCAGGTTTCCCAACAGCCATATAACCTGAGGCAAATTGTTTAATTTTTTTGAATCTCAGTTGTTCCACCAGTTGGACTCATGTCTAAATCCACGCTTCCTAAAATTGTTACATAGCACACCAGAAAACCATATGCTCTCCTCTTCCTGAAGTTCTACAATGCACATGAACATATTAAGAAGTCCAAGAAGTCCCATAGGGAAGGAACCTGTTGAACTTTATTTAGCCCACTGCTTCCCTTCCCAATTTGCTTGACTACAGTATGGTTTTTCACGGCTTATGCACACTTGGTGTCTTAGTCTGCTTGGGCTGCTATATTAAAATACCATAAGTTGGAAGGCTTATCAAAAAAAATTTATGTCTCCCAGTTCTGGAGGCTGGGAGTCTGAGATCACGGTCAGGTTCCGGTGAGAACCTTCTTCCAGGTTGCAGACTGTTGACTTCTCGCTGCAGCCTTACTTGGTGAAAGGAAGGTGAGAGAGCTCTCTGGGGTTGCTTTTCCTCAGGGCACTAATCCATCCTGGGAGCCCCACCCAACCTGATTACTCCACAAAGGCCCCGCCTCCTCATGCCTTCATCACACTGGGGGTTAGGATTTCAAAAATATATGAAGCCATAAATATTCAATCCAAAGCATTCGGACAAATGCTCTCCACAAAGACTTCCCATGAGTTCAGTTCTCCTGCAATTGCTCCAGCACACATATATTCATGGCTGTGCACATACACACAGATATATATTCCCCCATAGACGAACACATGCTTGCACATGCATGCACACACACACACGCCCAGGGACACACATGGAGAGGAAGAGAGTCGAGGCTCTGGAGGAAGCTTCATTCCTGCTGTCACTACTTACTCTGCTAAGATCTTACAGCGTGAGCGCTGGAAGAGACAGACAGATCCTCCAATCGGGCTGACTTGCCCCCTTGTTTGAGGAGCCTGTAGAGAAGGGAGCCACTCTGTTGAATGCTGCGCAGCCTGTTAGTGGCACAACAGGGACAGCAGTTGGGTGTCCCAGCTCCCTTCCCTCTTCTCCTGTGAAGAGCATGTGCTTCTTGGTGGCACCACTTGCTTTGGACACTTGGGCTGCGGTAGATGTAGCTGAAGATGTCTCCTTAGTTTTCTGCATCAAGATGTAATATCTGGAGTAATTCTGGATACAAATGCCGTCAAGAGGTCAGGCAGCGAAGTCCACAAAGAGTTTTTGAACATTTATTTTTCTGTCAGGCAATTTTGTCAGCATTGGTAATACAGTAATGAACAAACAGTGCAACCTTCAAAGAGGTACAGACAGTAACTGTATGAACAAGTAATACACACACGTGAGGTACTTATAATTGATATAAAAGTGTAATTGGATGGGTGTCGTAGAGAGGATTATGAAGCAGTCCTGGGGAGGAAGTAGAGGCTGAGCAGAGAAGCCAGTCAGTGCAGAGCAGGGTAAGGGTAGGCTCCACCCATCCTAACAGGGCTCCATTGTGGTGAGTGATGGCCCTCGCAATGAATAGTAATCATCAGCTACTTCCTGCCAAGTGCTTCCTATGTGGCAGACACTGTCCTAAGCCCTGTAGAACCAGGTGTCCATTTAATTCCTCAGACATAGTTAAGGACAGAGCTGGTACTAGAACTAAGTCTGTCCGCTTCTAAAACCCGGAATCAGGAGCGAGGTCATTCCATTTTCTAGATGGAAGACCACACATTGCTTTTTCCTGGAGACGCAACACTGAGGTTAAGTGGTTCACAATGCGAAGAGCCTCTCCCTAACAACGTAGGCTAAATTTGACTTTTCACCTCATTCCCTTGCTCCTAGGTCTGTCCTCCAGAGACCTCCCGCTCCCCCGGCAAAACATGCCAAGTCAGTTCCATTTGTGTTATCTGATGCCAGTTGTGTGTGTACCTCGGAAGGGAGAAGCGTACATTTTTTACGAGTGGAGATTTTGTTTCTCCAATCTGTTCCCTCCCAGCGGGATCTCAATGTTTTTTCTGAAGTTAGACATTGTGTGTGGGTTTGGAGCTGAGCTGGCGGGGGAATGGATACACACCACACCTTATTTATTTTCTCTTTTGTGGAAGGATCTCAGCTGTTTTTCCGCCCAAACTGAATTCTCTTACTCTTGAAGAATGACCCAAGCAGAGAAATTTCCCAAACATCTGAAATCTGAGAATTTGTGCCTGGAATCCATGAGGCCCATGGTTTCCAGATGGAGAGACCGGAAGAAGAGGAGCGGGGGAGGAGAGAAAGGAGCTGGAGGATGAAAGGCGAGGGGAGGCCTGAACTCTGGATCACTCCTGGCTGCCTTGTGAACTAGGCCAGGTATCTTATTTGCTCTGCAATTTTGCCAGTTGACAATGTGCCAGGCCTGAAGAAATGTAGCAATTACGCACGACCTCGTGAGACTTCCAGCAACTGCTAGGAAGTAAGTCATCGCGCAATTGTCTTTTCTGAGGGCGGCGACTCCCCTTGGTAGCACGACATAAAACAAAGCCCGTGCCTTGGCTATCAAGAGGGGCATAAACACTCTGGATGGATTTTCTCACCAAAAGACAGACACTTCTGGAAATCTTGGCTTCTTTACACCACTTAACCACACGCAGGAGGGGGCCCTGAGGTGAACTAGTTCTTCCTCCACATGCCTTGTCCTTATGCCAGGGGTGGGGCAGGGGGCTTCACAGGCAATCTAGTTTTGGGTAAATTAACAGGCCACAAGCTCAGAAAGGAAGTCCTGGTTTGATTAGACAGGACAGTATCTTCTAAAAAAAAAATAGGAAGTTTGGGGCAAATAGATCAGAACCCACTTGTTAGCGAATGGGAAATTGGTTTAAGTACTGCGGAAATGCCCATTTTTATTGTTATTCATGGGTTCTTCAGCATCATCTCCACCCACAACCTCGCCACCAACACCACTGCCACCATCACCACCCCCCCCAGCCAAGGAGTGATCTTGCTCCTCTATCCTAGTGACTTCCATATGGCCATCCGGCTGGGTCTGAAAGGTCCCGGGAGCCCCAATGTGTGGAGAGAAAGCAAATACAGAAAGGTTACTTCCAGTTAACACCTGCCTGCAGTCTCCAGATGTCCTAGTGAAAACGGTGGGGCAGCAAATGGCCACCCTCCAGCCGGAGAACTACCGCTGGACTCAGTGTCTTCAAGGACCAAGCAAAGCGTTCGAGCTCTTCTTAACCTGCTTGCCTGATGGGTGACAGGGGAAGGTTTAACTGCGCTCTGGCTGGGGAGGCAGGCGGCAGCGGCGAACGTGCTCTGCAACAGCGTGGCTTCGGCAGGCTGTTCATCTCGCCCTGAGGTAGGAAAGGGTACTGCCCGCCCCCTCCGGCTGGGCAGGGCCCAGAATTCATGAACTTCTTTGGACTGTGAGGTGAATCTGGGGTCTAAGCCAGACATTATCATCAGGAAAAGGTGGATGCTTTCCCTGTCTCTTCACCCTCCTTTTCCTATTACTGATTAAACTATTTAGAAGAGAATAATGATTTAATCCCTTCTGCTGCTAGGGATGTTACAGAATGTTGGTTGCAATTTAGTTCTAAAAAAATATTTATGAAAAAGAGAAGAAGGAAGGAAGGGAGGGAGGAAAGAAAAGAATGAAAAAAAAAAACAAAACGTTGTAGCCAATGACACAACTCATCATTAGTACCAGCAAAAGATAAAAAGGCATGGAAAACTCCTTGTCTGTGTACAGAATGGAAGGCAGTTGATTAACTTAGATCATTTCTATATAGAATGCGCGTGGCCTGTGCTTTGACAGACATGCAGTGCTGGAAGCAGTGCGTCAGGGACAAAGGAGAGTCCCAGTCACATGTTTCATGGTTTCTTTATCTTAGGGTCATCAGAGCAGGCCAGGTTGCCACAAAGTGCTCAGTGATCCATGGGAAATGAATCATGTCTTCATTCCGGGGCTTAATATATGCATTACATCACTATTAGAAGCCAGCAGCTCTGTGGTTGTTGGCTCCAACGTGGATCAAGGTCAAAAGTGGCCCTGGAGACCAAATTCCCTAGTGAGGGTTTGCCACACAACCCCGTGTGTCCTTTGCTCCTGAATTCTTCCTTCTCCTAGCAACAACTACTAAACACCAAGCTTCCCAGGCTGCTATTATGTCTACATAATGTTTGTTCTTCTTGCAGCAAAGAACTGGAGAAATGCAAGTGAGAATCTCTTATTAGGAGTTAAATAGTGTTACACCCAACTTGTGGTGAGGGTCCAGTTTCTTTTTATTATACTCCAATTTTGTTGTAATGATTATTGCTTGAAATAAGTGGGCAATTGATGGGGGCTGAGAGATAACATGGAGGCTTAAATGATTTTTATAGTGGCAGTACTTGTTGTAACAGAGTTTGACCTGTATTCTGGTTATTGGTTTTATTCATCACATTCGAAACTTGGCACTTCCATTGTTCATGCCACTATATGAAAAGCACTGTGGCATGAAAGTCACTTATAAAGCTATGAAAAAAACACTTTAAACACAACAGGCTCAGGGGACAATGAAACCTCAGGTAGGGGATTTTTTTGTTTTATTTAGGATAGGCAGGGGTTTATTCCTTTTAACCCCTTAAAGGTGATTTTTTTTTTTTTTACTGTTGTGATATATTTCTAAAATGTTTGATATGTACAAATTGTCTTCTGAGTATAATTTAGTTTCTTTAGATAATCAGGCCCATCATTTTGAATATAATTATGCTGTCCAATGATACAAGGATGCTTTGAGGAACCGAGATGGGTACAGAGCTGTTTTGGCACTTCATGCCCACCCCAAACACTGCTTTTTGAGCTCTGCAGTCTGCTTAAATTTTTTTTGTCTTCTCTATTACAGCTCTTTTTCCTTCTTGACCTAAGTTTCCTCTGGAAGTCTGTTTCTCACCCTTAAATGTAATCGGCTGTGGGCTTGGAAACCAGATATCAAACATCTAGAATTATGTGTGAAGTAGGAATAAATAGGTTCTAAGTGGGTGCTTTACGTGTAGATGTATGACCTTTCTCTTCTGTTTGCTTCCAAACATTTATTCCAACTGTCAGAAACCTTGTTTGCTTAGTTCCTAGTTCTGTCATTTTTGAATGGGTCCAGCAGCGGTTCTAGATTTTCCTAGTTCTGTCTCAATTACTCATTGTCAAGCCATGTGTTTGGATTTCATGTTCTGGAAACAGGGATAAGGTGAAACTGACAGGTGGCTGAGCCCAAGGTAAAAATGAAGGTTGTGGGCCATTTTTGTCAGATACATGGTACACTGTGGCCATGGTGGCTGAGCTCAGCAAATGACTATAAAACAGACAAGCTCCTTGTTCGGCCCCTTTCCAATAATACAAAGCTGGCCCACTACCAAGCTGCTGAAGACAACTTCAAGATGTTAAATTATAGACGGAGTGTCAGAGCTGGCTGACTTTTGGGATTCCAAGTCTATGGCAAGAGAAACCATGGCTTTGCCTTTCCTGGTGGTTTCATTATTAATGACCTTGGAATAAAGAAGATAAAGCAAGTGTAATAGTTTCTCCTTCTAAAAGTGCAGTCTCAGGTCAGAAGAGGACTTCACTGTTACCCTTGGCCCTCCTTCCCTCACAAGACACTGTACTTTGCAGACTGCCCAAAGCAAAGCCTAAGAAAGGGCAAATTCCTTTCCCACAAGGCCATGCTACACCTGTGTATGGAGATGGGGCGGTGATGGTATCACCGGTACAAGGTGCCGCTAGGAGGGATTAATGGCAGGGGTGGGAAGTCTGCTAGACCTGGGTTTAAATCCTGGCTTCCCATTTATTAGGGCGTGACCTTGGACACAGTATAGTATTTAACTCTCTGAGTCTGATTCCTGAGCAATAAAGTAAGGGATGATAATATTAGTGCTGTGAGAATTAAATAAGATAATGTGAAAGCAACTAGAATGGTACCTGGCCTAAAGAAAAAGCTCACTGAAATGGTAGCTATTACTATTAACAAAATAAATGACTTTAACCTGGAGACTTTAATAAGTACAGATACTCAGTAAGCCAGTTATTAACTTGAAGCAGCCTTTAGGTTTTTTTTTCTTTTCTGTGACATCTTCTTCCCGTATTAAGACTGGCAGCCTGACTTTCTGCTGGGTATTATCTGCCTCTGGTGCCTTGTTAAGGCCAGGAGATGTTCCAGACAAGCTGCAATTTCACCCTTTAATGAGTGTAAAGGAAATGGGGCCACCTGTAAGCTGGACCAAGCAAAGATCAATGAAACAAAGAGTTGTAGCTTTCAGAGGGGAAGGCAGTAAAAGAAGCAAGGGCTGGGGCAATGGGACGTGGCGGTGAGATCCTGCACCAGGAAGTAGGGAAGAAAACCCCCCAAAGACATTGTGGCTTATTAAAACTCTGAGACTCCCAAGTGCTCCAGTGCTTGGCAATTCCACCCCGCCAGGCAGAAGTGTCCTCAGTAGCCAGGGAAGAGGAGGTAGGGCCTCGTGATTGCTATAGGAGACAGAGAGTCTGCTGTCCTGGTTTTATTAGCGCGGCTCATTGGGTGACCTTGAGTGGCTGACCCATCTCCCTCTCTCGGATAATTTTCCCGAAGTTCACACTGTCCCCAGCTAACTAATTGAGTCTGATAGACACAAATTTGTTAAAAGGAAATTTAGAGCAGGGTTCATAGATTGCAGCTCCGCCAGGCACACCTGCTGATGGGTTTTAGGTTGGATTTAAAAAAACTGAACTTTAATGCCTTTAGGCAAGACTTGTAATTTCTGATTCACACTATCTACTGTCTTGGGTTTTCACTTCGCCTCTGAGTATATGACTTGGTTTCAATGCAACCTCTGGTCCTAATATTACAAATTGGACTGGAATTGCTTCACTTACAACTTAATCCTATTTCTTCAGCAATGGCATCAATGTGCATTTCTAAGTTTCTACAAAAGTGACTTTGCTGGCCTAACTATAATTTACTGTATGAAGGTTTTCTCCCCCTAGAAAATACAGTAAAAATTAAAGTTTGACTTAACCCCTGGTAATCCAAATTGTAAGGCTTTGTTATTTAAAAATGTCCTTCAGGACCAAGTATTCTTTAGGTTATAATCTACTTTCCTCAGAATATTTAACCGAGGCATGGATCATTTTACATTGAGAAGAAAACATATCAACATATTTCTAAATAATAATGACTTCGTCTGTCCTTTTGCCACTTCCCAGAGATCTCCTAAGCCACTCCAGAGAGATCAGGAGTAAATGAGTCTCCCCCATCTAATAACCAAAACACCATCACCCCCAGCATTACCACAGCTAAGAATGCAGACTATCATTAATATTTACACCTAGCAGGGTCCATTGTGCCCAACTCTGAGAGACAAATGGTATTTCCAGTAATAGTTTATTGATTTCCAAATGCACAGGGGCGCTGAGTCCAAACATCCTGGGATAGCGGTAAATCTCTCTTACAAAATAATTTACAGTATGAAGATGATATACTGAAACATTAACTCAAATGTGTAGTTCCCTTGAAAGACGGAGTGTTCCCTTGTTTAATGTAAAGGGCAAAAGGGGAAGGTGACTAAGGAGGGACTCCGACCGCACAGGAGAACAGGCCGAGGACATGGGCGCACTGGCCCTCCCCGCCCCCGCGGGGTGGCCTGTCCCTGCGGAAAGACTAATCAGGTTTCATTCCCATTAAGTATAAATCTATTGTCCCCTCAAGGTCGTATCAAGCCTGGCATGGGCTCTGTGGCTTTTTTTTTTTTTTTTGCACCAGTATACTTACAACTGTCTTAATTTATTTCCATTTTCTTGCTCTGATGCCTGTTTCTGGTGTGTTCTCTGTGCCAAATGATACACTGTTTTGCCGCGCAGGCCCCCAGAGGGGCAGGAGCTGCCTGGGGCTCGTAGTGCTTGGAATAGGCTGAAGTGGGGGCTCACAAACATGCCCGGTAAAGGCAATGAGACGAGCAGTCTCCCCTGTGGGCCGCCTTTTTCTCTTAGGGCTGGGCGGAATCCATCCGTAATGAGGTTTGTCTTTTAAACAGAAAATTCCAGATGAGCTAGGCACACGGGAGACATGCAACTGATTTTCTTATCAGAAAGCCAGTACTGAACAGCCATTATGTGTGTGTGAAATTTCAGGTATTGGCAGAGTATTTCTAGGTGGGAAGGGGGCTCCTAGGCCCTGCCATGACCACAGGCTGCGACTTCTGCAGCGGTGTCTCAGGCCAGCCTGGCGGGTCAGGCTCAGGGCACCAGGGCGGCTGGGCGCCCCACTTTCCCATTTTGTTAGACGACCTGGAGGAGGGCTGCTGAGCATTTCCTTTGGCGCCCTCACCCTTGGCTCAGTGCTTTAGGATCTGACAGCTTTTGCCAAGGAGTTGCTCTTCTCGTTAGCATCTTGTAAGCCTCTAAGCTCCGATTATCTGGTGACGCTTGTAATCAGGGCTGGTAGCAACCTTTGCAGTGGTATGAAAAATAATGAGGGGCTGCTTTGATTTTCCTTTAGTTCTTAAACTGTGTGTTAGAGTGTGTGTGGTGTGTATGTGTCTCATTTATGTACACACACATATCAGGTATCAGCAAGAAAGTTTAGATTCACTGAACTCTAAATTGCCTCAGAACTGGCTAAGTTTGCTAAGATGTAAAGACCCTTTCCTGCAAGAGTACAACGGCGGGCATTTTCCAGTAAGGCTGGAGAGCTGACACCCTTCTCCTTGACTATTGCTGAAAAGTTCTGTACTCCTGAAGGCCCAGAAATGCTTTATTTATGGGGGGTGGCACCAAAAAGGAAAGGCTCCCCTAACTCCTGGGGGACGTCTGAAATCAGCCATGTGTATGTAATGCATCTGCTAAAGTGGAAGCATAGGGCTACTTTGCTGCCATTTTTGAACCCAGTCTACACCCATGAAATGTCATTTTGGAACAAGATTCATAAAGTGGGACAGCTGGACTGTAGGGGGAACCGGACCTCTTTTTCTCCCTCTGTATTTAGACGCACCATGGGCCAATGAGTTAGGGAGAACAGGGTTCAAAATCCAGCTCCAGTATTTCCTAGCTGTGTAAGTCAAGGTAAGTGACTCTTCCAATCCCAAATCAGTTTTATCATCTGAGAATGCAGGCCTGGTACAGGGCCTGGTTCACAGTTAGTCCTCAATAAAGGCTATTTCCCTTCTTGGTTGTCAGAGCTGAGACGCCAAGCATTTCTTGGAATTACCCTGAATGTAATGATATCAAAAAACAAATAATAAAAAAAACAACCCCAAGACCTTCTCGGCCTCCAGACACCCAGTGTGTGGAAGGCAGCCAGGGACTGGTGTTCAGATCCAACTCATTCCAAGGGCACTCGTTACCTGCCTCCCCTGATGGCGTGTCCCCAGGGACTTCTGCAACTGCCTGCAGCCAGTCAGGACGCACCTCTGAGCACAGCCTGTGCTGACCTGGCAGGGGGGGAGCCTCATCATGCCGGGGTGTAAGGCTGAGTGGCAGCGCTGGTCTAGGGGACGCTGCTGCCGCTACGGGAAGCATCCCAGTCCTCACACAGACGAGCTGCCGGCAAGAACTCAGGAGCTGGGCGGGGCGCTGCGCTGTGTTTAACGCTCACCTGGTTAAAGTTTTATCAGGTGCTGGAGACGGCGGGAACCCATACAGCAAGTCTGAAATCCTTTCTCGGTAAAAGCAAAAGTGCTTTCCTTGAGGGCTACAGGGATATGATTTATTGAGACAGGTAGGTGTGTATTTTTAATATTTCCGTTCACATCCACTGCATAAATGCTTGCATTTCCCAAATACGGATTTAAAGTAATAACATGTGATCAAGTGTGGAGAGGCCAATGAGCTTTCCATTGCTAAGACAAGGCTACTATTTAGGGATTAAAAATAATTATTTGGGAAAGATAACACAAGCTTCCAAATCCTAAAGTCTTCTAAATCTTCTGGTGTTTAACATCTTATTTTCAGAGTGGCCATTAGGTCTTCCTTAAGGGCAGCTTTGTTGGGCAGGGCTGGGAGCTGTAATTCGTGGGACGCCGGGTTGTCCAGCCTTTGCAGGCAGGTAGGTAAAGCACCGGAATTGTCTTGGCCACTGGCTGGCTACCAGTTTGAGAGAAAAACACCTTCTTTCCTTAACAGCCCAAACTCCTCTCAAATTTATAAATAAGCCCTGACGTATATGGTGAGCTAGGATGGTCCTAACCCAGAAATATATATCCCGGGTAGCTTCCTGGCATCAAAGGAATGATCATTTAACAGCATGCACAGAACTGAACAATTATATAAATAGGATTCCTACAGTAAGTATCATTTCTGCCTCAAAACCATACTGCACACACACAAATCAGCTGGCCCTAAAGCTCTGTGCTAGGTACAGGGGTCGTAGGCAGGCAGGCGGGCAGGACGAGAAGGATCTCCTCTGGAGCAGGCTCCTCTGGTTCTGCCTCAGAGACAGGAGGAGGCCAGGCCCTGAGTCAGCAGCAACCCCAAGGCCGTTAGGATACAGATCCAATTGTACTTCTCCGAAGTGAACACCCAATACCACTAAAGCCAGAGCAGAGGGAGGGCATGCCCCCACTTGCAGATAAGAATTACCTGTGAGGTCTCCCATTTTATCTTAGCTGCGTTGATGTGTATGTGCAATCTGTTTCCTAATATAACTGTTTGTTTTATCTAAAAATAAGGTCATCCCCTGACTACAAACTATTTGTTCAGTAAAACTGATGTTTCAGAAGATGCAGGGGTTTTAGCTTGCAGTTTGGTATTTCCCAGGGCATCACTGCTCATGTGAGCAGAAAAACCCGGTTGTAAGGAAACGTGATTTGGGGGTGGGGAGAGGCCCGAAGTCCAGCCATGATGTGTCTCTGCTCATGTTACTACAGGGGACAGAGCCGGGAGGGGAGAGGGCCTGAAGACTTGCTAGTTCAGAGTGCCGTGGGAAGGGGATCTAGCTGGAGTCTGGCAGGGACGTCGCTGAGAGACGAAGCTCGGGCCCGCTCAGCACATCGCAAGTGCCGAGGAGCCTCCCCATACCGCAGGTAAGCCAAGTGAAGCTAAGCAAGGGGAGGAGGAGCCAAAACCTATATTGAAAATTCCCACTTGGTAATATATGTTCCAGCCTTTCACGTGGCAAGATTCATAAAACCTGAAGAATTCACCCAAATAATTCAGGTTTCATCAGATCCTTCAGTGACCATTTTGGAAACTCAGGCAATTTGAGTTCAGAAACACTGATTTCAACTTTTGATCAGATCTCTTTGGTCCTTTCTTTTTTTTAAGGTCATTGCCTTTCTACCTCCTCATTTTTTTTTTTCATTTCTACAGTACTGAATTATGAATCTGAAGTCTTGGAAAACCTGACGTACTAAAAATATCTCTATATGTTCCTAAATTTTAACTCTTTCTCCAGCTCTGTTTTCAGGCCATCCATCTTATTTCATGAAATCACATTTTCGCAAATGTACACGGGGACTTTTAGAGACACATATGTGTGTTCAGCCCTACTTTGCCCTTCTTTGTTTCATGCTTCAATATGAATAAAGTGGGGTTTTATTAGCAGGTAGGGAAGAATATTCTGACTGCCCTTCAAGATTATTCCAGATCCTTCCTAATGAGGAGATACTGTTTGGGTATCTGACATTACAGGGGCTGGCTTTCCTGAGTAAGTTCAAAGCAGCCAATGAGGGATTACCTCAAGGACCCTTCTTAATTGCTCTCAGTGGATCAAAGGGGTGCTTTTCCTTGACCTACCACAACAAAAGGATGAGAAGCACACAGTCAGCAAGCATAAAACTGGTCATCCCTTGGAGAGACATGCGCCTGCTGTGGATCTGGGGACGTATCCGATGGGAGGACATTTGTTGCTGGGCAGCTTTCACAGAAATCAGAAGCTGTTACGTACACGCTGTCACATACACACAAGGGGAAGGAATGATTTTCCACTGGGGATGGCAAGCCTTCATGTGTCCTCTTCTTCACTGGCACCGCTGTGAAGGAAAGGAGAACCGAGTGAGCTCAGACATCACAGGAAGGGAGGTAACCTAGTCTACTGGTTGAAGGCAAGGCTGTGCTGCCAGATATCTCTGGGTTCCGGTCCAAACCCACCACTGCTGGGCGCCGCACTGTGGCCACGGCAAAGTGCCGACCTCTCTAAGTTCTGATTTATTTCACTACAGGCAAAATGAGGATAATAAAACCTACTTTCTTGGAGGATTAAGTAAGATAATACATGCAAAATACACAGAGCCTGGTACATAGTAAGTGAAGAGCTATTTAAATGAGCAGGTGTGGGTTATATTTTTTAACTTGTGTGACAAAATACATTTCTGCTAAAAATCAGGAGTTGGACATCCCCTAAGCCTTAAGCCACCTGTTGTTAGGAGAGAAAAACAAAAAGGAAACTATCATTCTGTACTCCTCACTTGGAATAATGCCAAAGGTTTCTATTCATGCCATGGGGACAGTCACTGGAGTCAAATGTCATCTCTTCAGAGAAGGGACTGTGTCTAAGTAGAACCCCCTAATTATTCTTCATCATATGTCATATAGCCCTTATCACATCCTGTAAAGTGTTTGCTATTTACTCTCCTGTCTACCACCCACTAGAGCACAAAAGAGTAGCAATATTGTCTATTTTATTAACTACTATTTATCTAGCACTGATATTGTGCTAGGCACATAGAAGTGTTCAATAAATAGTTGTTTTTAAAAGTGAGCGAGAAGCAAATCAACAGGAAGGGAGGGAGGCAGTTGAAAGGAAGGAATAGTCAGCTGTTACTGCCCTGATCAGAGGATCCTAGATGTCAGGGGTAGTTCAGTGGCCAAGAAATGGGCAGTGAGTCCCAGAGGATGGCTGGGAGCTTGGCTGCTCGGGGTCAGAGCCTCCCTGGCTTGGTGCTCAGACAGAACAATGTTCATGTAGGGACTGGGCCAAGAAGGCAGGGCCAGAAAAAGAAAAGGCACAGGAGCAAGAACACTAAAAAGGGCCGAAGCAGCAAACTTGCCCAGTGTCTCCTTCTGCACTTCTGGCGGTCACAGTCAAAATCCTAACAAGAGCCAACTGGGTGGGGTGCTTCCGGGGTGCTTACTGGGTGCCAGGGGCACTGAGCTAAGGGCTCCTCACCCATTCTGTCACTCCCCCAAACAACCCTAGGATATAGGGACTATTATTTTTATCATGCCATTTTCTTTATGGAGAAAGTGAAGCTCTGAGAGATGTAAAATCCTCGATCACATAAGTAAGGTCTGTGTTCTCTGGATAGAGTTTAAAGTAGAGACAGGAACTAAGGAAGGAAGAACGACCTAGGGTGTACCAGCTCCCAGTTATAACCTAGACATTTTTATCTCACAAGGGATTATCTATGTCTACTTTAAATCTGTGCTCTTTTACATCCATTTGGGAAAGGCTTTAAGGAAAAACACCCCAGGCCAGTGATTCTCAACTAGGGTGCCGCAAGAATTTTTGAAACATGCAGTACCTGACTATGTTGTCAGGAGCACTGACCTCTCTCCCCTTACATTGTCAAATAACAAAATGACAACAGCCAACACATAAATAGCTGTCTGGTATGAATGAATCAAAATTATACCTTTTTTTTTTTTGTCAGACTGGCAAAAAAAAAATATGTATTTTGGTGTGTCTCAGAATTTTAGTAATTAGTTTATGTGTGCCATGAGATAAAAAACATTAACAATCGCTGTCCTAGGCCGCTAACCTATAGTACTTCTGCTAAGGGTGAAAATATTTCAAGACACAGAGCCTGACGTTGAGGAAAGTGAACTCTAGGAGCCAAAAGAACCAGCTCAGCAACCTTCACTCTCCAGAACTCTGCCCTCTGCATTCCCTATTCCTGACTGCAGTCCGGTCACGGAATGAAGGGAGCATGCTAGGAAGGGCTGGGCAGTGAGCTGTCATTAAGGAGCCACGTGTTTGGTGACATCTGTCCCAAAGGGAACAAAAGGTCTTTTATGTAAGCTTCTCACCAGAGTCAAGGCACAGTTGGGACCGGCATCGTATTCCCCCCCTTGGCATTACATCCAAAGCCAGCTCTTACTGTTCTCTTGTCAATTTTCCTTCAAATATGGGAGGTCTAGCATGGTGGCTGTGCCCTTTCCTTAACTGCCATTCATTTTTCAGCATTCTTCATTGAAATGCATAGTTTAGAGGGTTCATGAACTCACTGAAATTGTATACAAAATTTTGTCTGTGTATCCCTTTGTCTGAGAGGGGCAATAATTTTCATCATATTCATAAAGAGGTCAACAACCTCTCCCTCAAATGAGTATAATGAAATTATAAGTAAGTTCTTTTTGAGTTGCCAGGTTTTTTACCATAAGACTTTTAGAGTTGGCTTGGGGAAAAGGTCAGAAGCCATGATGGATACAATCTTTTCTCATTACCCTAAAAGAGGTCTGTTCTTGGGTCTGAAAGATATAGTCCATCTCGCAGTTTAAAAGCATGAGACCTTGGGATTCTGGCATATCACTGATTGATTCTTTCATTTTCTAAGTGTTATTGACAGTCTGCTGTGTGTCAGGCATGGCGCTGGCACAGCACTGAGTAAGACAGACAGTAGTCGCACGCCTGGACTTTACCTGCTCAGTGGGAGAGACAGAGATCGACAGAGATGGACATACAGAGACAGAGAGAGAAAGAGGGGTTTTCTTTCCAGAATAGCAACTTCAGAAAAAGCACAGTTGTTTTCATAATTAATTAATAACCTGTTTTTCACAATAATGAAAAAGAAAAAGGATCTAAACTGAATCTGAAACATAGAGCTCTGCTTACGTTGTGTGTGGCTTCTCCTGGAGGGTTAACGATATAATTAGTGTGAGATACCATCTCCTGAAAGCTTCTTCTTCACTTTGTATGGAAGCTGGCCTGTGTTCATCAGATTTTATCTTAAATAGTCTATAAGTCTCTACCTCCTCCCAGGGAAGTAACCAGGCTTCCACCTCAGCCATTTGTCACCCTCCTCTGAAGCACTTACCAGTCACACTTTGATTTACAATGGGAGTGGTAAGCAGGTTATTGAAATTCTTTTTAATGTCTGTTTTGAGAATGAACTAAGGCTGTTAGAGAGACAGCCCAGCTGTAGTAGGTGTCCACCAATGGGACAGGCAGCGTTATACAATTGCTTTCAAGTCACCAGCCTGACCTCGGTTTAAGTCCTTGATGTAGTGCCCTGTTTAAGGCACTACTGAGCTGTGGGACCTTGGGTGAGTTACTCAACCTCCCTTAGTCTCAGTTTTCTCATGGTAATACTATCTGACAGGGTTATTGTGAAAGTTTTATGTATTTTATGCAATGTAAATGATTAGAAATGCTGGCTACCTTCTTTGACCCACCTTCCATCCTGTCCCGAATCAACACCTGCCTCCTCCTAACTTCCCTCGATGTCCCTAGCTTTGGCACCTGAAACATTACATTCTAGAGCAAGTATGTTCCTCTTCCCAAATGCTCTTCAAATGTCTGGAGAGCAACAGTGTCCTTTGCTTGCTTGGAGAGTTGTTGTTGTTGTTTTGATAAATCTAGACATAATGAAATACAGGTATTGAATAGAAATATGAATAGTTCTATGTTTCTGACCCTTCTACTTGACAGGTCTCTAGAAAAGTTGGCCTTTGTCAGACGCTGGTGAGGATAAGTAATGAACAAAGCCTGGGTTGGCTGGCCTTAGTCATAGACAGATCTAGTTTGAGGGTGCTGTTGGATCTAAAAGCAGTGGCGTAAACCTTGGGTAACACATACTCTTGTGGTACATGACTTGCCATGGGGTATTTGGGCATGGGTAGATTTTTTTTTTTTTAAGCAGATGTTCCCAGACTGGAAATGGAACCTGTGACCTTTTGGTTTGCAGGATGCTGCCCTATCCATTGAACCACACCAGTCAGGGCTAAGCATGGGTAATTTTAAGAAAATAAATGTCTAGATCCTTAACTTCCGTATATAGTCTTTCTTAAAACAGACATTTCTAAGAACATGCCTGTGACCCAGAGATTCTCTCTGTAGCCACTCCCAGTTGTATAATCACCTCACTCCCACTTGTCAAAAAGAAATGCATACCTCTCACCTTCCTGCTCTCACTATGGGACAATTTTAGAATGCTTTGCTTCTGAGAGGGATCCTATGAGCGCAGGGCAAGAAATAGCAACGGAAGCACTCCCTCATTTCATCCAGGCAATGAACTCTTTGCAAGGTACTATGTCCTTATCTGTCTATCCATAGACTAAGAATTCATATTTCTTAAGTGAGATGGTTGTCATGAGGTGTGTACTTATATATAGATTTGAACTGAAAAATAAAATCAGAGTTGTATCTGACAGAAAGGAAGACAAATTAGGCTGGATAGCTTGACCATAAAAATCATCTTTGCCAATTATAAAGTGAATTTTATCTACAAATTTAATATGCTAACTCTTCAGTGCCAAAATTTTGACAAAAATGTATGTCAAACTCATACTATCTAAATACATCAGAAATCACATCCTTCCCATTATCTAAACTTGATATATAATTTCAGGAGTTAACTTAAAAATGAGCAAGGAGGCACATAATTTTTTCTAAATTATTTTAGGGGTAGAAAAACAAAAAATTTAGCTAAAGGAACTGAGAGTTGGGAGCGCGGTGTGATACTTAGCACTTTGCTGGCTGGGGGTAGGGGTCACAGGGACAGAAAGGGACTAGGGAGTCCCGGGCAGCAGAATGCTGGGTTCCTTCTGCCAGTCGGGCACACTGATGAGGAATCCTTTTTGTCTTGTTGTGGTGCCTGTGAAACTGAAAGAATTGTGATAGGCAGACCACAAACTCTAGTCACATTCAGCCCCTAGATACCTGCGGACGAAATGATTGAGATAGAGGAGGCTTTCACTGCCTGATGATTTTTTAGATGGTCCATACAGACGGGCTGCCAGATTTTCAGCTTCTGTCCCTGGAGGTGGAGGCTTATAAGAGGAAGTTAATAAATGAGACAGTAGGCACTCTGAC